GTTAGGCTTTTGAGTCAAGGGCTTTGGCTGAAGACCCTAATCGTCCTCCTGTCTAGGTGTGGGTGCCCTGGCAGAATCCCAGCACACATACAACCATGACACTTACAACTAACAATATACGGCAGTGAAGCATCGGTGCTGAACATGATGTCATGCTGTCAATGATGATGTTGATGTTCAGTGACTACACTTTACGAAACCTGACCCTACATCTTCAGGGAGCAGTGTATGCCGAAAGACTGCAAGGAATACTTTAGTCAGATATTCAATATTTCACCGTTTCTTTATGCATACATTTTCAGCTAATACTACTGGATTGACGAGTAGAATAAAGCCTACCCTAGGTGCTGAAATCCGGGAAATACACTGATTGTCTGCATTTGAAAAATGAACTTGTTAAAATCATCCAAAAACACTTGTACATCTCGGCACATTCTAGGTCGAAAGTCACATCAGCATCAATATGCACACTATGGATTTGAGGATCTAGCGTTCGTCTCATTATCGCGTCGAACAAGAAGTCCAAGAGAAGTGGAGGGCTGGTACCCTTCTCGGAAGTTACTTTTGTACAAAAGCTGTTGGTGACCTTCCCATGTAGCTACACAACCGCAAATCTGAGGATACAAGGGACTCATTGTAATCAAACTTCCGGGACATGCCTTGGTTAGAAGACACGCTAAGGTGAACAAACTGATCAAAGTTGGAAATACAGGAATATCAAAATCGCGATATGACGATATTCTAACACCTGATGGGATATGAAGATGTGGTCAACGCAACAACAGGCCGAAATCTCGACCGCTGTTCTCTGGCCAGTGCTCTTAGGAATCAATATAAAACGTAATGAGGTGACGTCACGAGTTTCGTTACGGCTGGAGTCAAGCAGATCCCCCCTGACTGCCACATTCAGTGCGGGGCATTTTCTGAAAATGCTTACTGGAGCAGCCTGCATCCTCCAAAAAGAGGCGAATAAATCGGGCGAAATCTGACTGAAAATTTGGTCATCATCAGTGGACAGTGTGTAGTAGGTTATCGAACCAAGAGCCCGGGAGTTCCAGGTTTAATATCATTCAAAATGATCGGCACAGTGAGGGGTCGTTTTTAATTAGAGGTGATCGTGCCATGCTAGTTTCACTCATCAACATCGACACCAACCGATAGTGGCACAAGATGAGGCCAATAGTGCTTCACTGTCGTACAACCATGTCAATTTGTTTCAGTAAAGGAAAGAAACAGAGCGCAGATTAGGACCTCGGGTTACCACATGCATCCGAAGTACCTACACCCCCAACACTTAATAAGATAGTCTGGATAGAAATCAGCAGCGCGAGCGCCACTGATATAGGTTAGCCGACATATCGTTCAATTCTCCAGTCAAACCCATGTAGGGTCTCGTGGGTCTCAAGTGAACAGCACTCAAAATTTTCGTAACGTCCTTCATTCCTTCTCCTCTCTCATTTAACACACGTCCCTTGAGATGTCATAAGCGCCATAAATTGGCCAACTCAATTATGACTCCTGAGATTCATGCCATCACCTTGCCTGTCACACTACTATCAGAGCTGACGCAATTTCGAAGATACGTATAGCGTTCCAGATCCTCCAGTGTTACCCGTTGAATTCTTAGAGGTACGTCTTGCAGTATTACTCTGTTTTGTGGGCGCTAAGGAAATTCTGAAGGACTAGATTAGCTTTCTAAGGAATTCCTGCTCATTCCAGGTCAACAAGGTTTTCACTCGGAAAGATGTGAGCGCACAAATGTTTTGGAGTCCTCCAGTGTTCGCCATATTACCTCATCGATTGCGAAACAAGAAAAAGGTGGACATGCTGTAGGTACCAAGGATTATAGGAGAGCTCCCCATACACTCTCACACCAACATGTAAATACAAACAGCTCATGATATTCACGGACTTCTGGGACACCCTTCAGCGCAAGTAAGTTGACAACCGGTTGACAGAATAGAATGCACTCTTGAAGTCAAGGCAGACGGTGGTTTCACTCACCGGCAATCACCCGAGACCAACTGCATGCAGTTTACATCAGTTCAGTTTATCAGCCATAAACCATGTGGCAAAGGTACGTTGGTTCCAACTGTCACAGTTTCGGTCATCGCACGGAGTAAACGGAATAATCTTCAAGCAATCCAGATATTCGCAGCTTCTCCCGTTTCATTTGCCTCTGGTATCCACTAGCCTTTACGGTCGCTGCACGAATGAATTTTCTGACAATTCGCCGGAATGAGTGATGCTAGAGCTGACGGTTCCTTTCGTCGACACTCAAACAATATCCGCCACCATCATCAGCACAGAAAAACCCAATACTTTTGTCGCATATTTGCTGGTTTCTCAAAGCGCCCCATCGTTAATTGTTGAATCGTCATTTTTCGTTTTAGCTCGCAGTGTCAGTGTTTTGGACGAATAGAGCCTAGCTTCTGGGCCATCGATATCTTCCGTTCTTACACCGATTGTCTCCAAACTCCATTCCTCACCAAATACAACACTAATTTCCGAAACAGCCCAAGTCGTCTGGTCGCACGGAGTCTTCAAAAGGACCACAGGCAAAGAATTCACACTGATCACATCGCCATCAGTTACCAATACAGCGTATCAATAATTGACTGCTGCCCGTTTTGGAACACATTGTTGGTCCTGACCACGCCGTCACCCCGGGTCGATTCACACTTAGTTTCCAAGGGCCGCGTAAAGTACGGACAAATCGATTAACAACTGAGAGACTGGTAGATCCGGATGCTGAGCGAATTTATCAGAATCGTATTCTGGAGTCTTCCAACTGCTTCATCGTCAGATGTGAATTCATACTGGGACGAGATTGCTACCATACCCGCTCAGTCACTGGGTATCAATGGCACTGCTTAAATCCCGGAGAAATGTCCCAGTCAGTCCCGACCATAATTCGGCCCCACGAATCATCAGAGGCACAGAGAGCAGGTAAGGCCCGGAGACTTTCAGCTGATCAGTGCGACCGGTCACCGAAGACCAAGGATAACAGTGGGATGACCATTTTGAATAAAGGATTCGACCGGTGGGCCAAATACTTCAAATAATAATCCTCGTGGCCACCAGCCGCCATCCAACTGGAGCCTAGACAGTGAATGTAGAACCCTTACGGCCGTGGAGCTTCATGACCGCATATGTTCTCCCAAACGTCACCGAGTTCCTGGTCCGGATGCCCTTCCAGCTGCATTGTGAAAAGATGGAGACGAAGTACTCAACCAGCGCTTTTCTGTTCTGGTATTTGGGGAAAGGGGACCGTCCTAGACAACTGTGGAAAGCAGGTGAGTTCCTATTTCAAAAACGGGGCTCGTAGTGAAAGCGGCAACTACGGGGGGGGGGGGGTCAGCTTGATCCCGGTCATAACCAGACTGTTGGCGTCCCTCGTCAATTTATGGTGGCTCGTGAAACATTGACTAGAGAGCAGAAAGTGGGACTCCCGTCAGGTAAAAGTTGCATTGACCATATCTTCAAATTCGACCAGGTGCCATAAAACAACGGAAGCAAAAACGACCCGGAATTTCAATGTTTATGCTCCTTATATACGTGCCCATTACGGGATGCCCCCGAATTTTTTGAGCACAATAACTCCGTATTCTAAGACTTCCGGGAGTGTGAGCGTATACGGAGACCTTCCAAAAAGTTCCCGTAAATAAAGTAGTGTCCATCATGAGTGTGCATTCTCTCCATTCCTATTCACTTGCGTAATCGATAAGATGAGGCAAACTCTAGATCCTCAAGCACTGGTGGTCATAAATCTGCTGACGAAAAACTTGTCGATCCAGAGTATGCCGACATCGTTCTCATCTTCGAAGAGAATGTACAGGTGTTCTTGGAATAACTGACCAAAGACATTCCATACTTTGGCGTTTGCTTTGCAATAACAAATCTTAAGACTATGCTCTTGGACATGCAGTCACTAAACTCACCACTTAGAATCGGAGTTATGGAGCGTTTTTGTCTCCTTTTTCATGATACAAGCGAACAAATCAGGCAGACGCTAACTGAGGACTTCACTCCCAGCCTTAGTAGAAGGCAGGTTACTCGGACTAGGAGTTCGGTAACGCCTGGGAGAACATACGCGCTCACAAACCTCGAAGGACGTAGGGGTAATATACTCAGCCTACAGTTCCGAGATCTAAGTGAGTGGCAGCAGAAAATGGTTATAGTGCTAGAGTCACTCTCTAGTGAGGATGGCCGCGCCACCCTTGTCCTTCATGTTTTGGTTTATGGGCAGCTCCCGGGGGCCGGTCGGGCAGAACAGTTTAACATCCGGTGAGTGGTGTGAACGCCTTATTGCCTAAAGGCGTATGCCTCGGCGTGCGTGTTGTAGCATGCGATCCACCCCCAAAAGCGACTTGTATCCAGTGGGTTCCCAATTGTTGGAAAATGTGGGCGATAATTTCAATCTAATTTTCACGGGCCAGTGGCGCCGCGAGATGGCTCAAGTGATTAGAGCGCCAATTTACTGACCAGAAGGTGTGGTTCGAATCCGACCTCGGCCTCTTGACTCCCCCTGTTTAGGCTTGAGCAACCTGGAAGTATCCCAGCCCTCGAGCTTCCTTTGGGTGACATGTCAACTAAGCACCGGGGATGGTAGCTAAACTATTTCTTCTAGTGGCGCCAACGGTGGTTCTCTAAGGATCTATTATCTCAGGCACCACTAGGCAGTACTTGGAGGGATCTGAGCTACCTGGAAAGCAGCCGCCAGGGGTCACCCCTGCTCCGAATCGCCACCCAGATGTAGAAATCTGTCCAGTGTGTCAAAAATTACCCAGATTGGTCCACAGATCTTGTTGGTGTCTGAGGTTGGAATGCGGTTTCAAGCCCATCAGAACCGTGTTCATTCTTCATAAGAAAAGGTGTGCCAAGATCCAACAAATAGGATGAAGCTACCTGCGGACTACTGGCTTCTACTAAAAGCACTACTGATTAATCTTCAAAATAGATCACCTCGGTATTTTGCAGTAGTGCGTATTAAAACTCACCGTAGGCCATTGAACAATTGCTTTGATTTTTCTAGCAGGTGGCAAAATTCCGACACCACACTCCGATCCCTCTGCTCTGAATTCCTGTCCGACGCCATCGACGCCGACTCCGCGGGGTCAGGGTACGCACGCGCGCTAACCATTTGACTTTGATTAACCGATGTGGAAAAACTATCAGCTGGCCGTTCAGTTCAAAATGAGCCGTATAACAGATAAGAAAGTTTGGTCAGTTGCATGCACACTACTAACTTTCAAAGTTTAGACATAAATACGAGCGGTTAACGGTGCCTCTTATAATTGTAGTTTTCCATCAAGTTCTGCTTCATCGGCTGCTCTGTATTTGTGAAAACTACGAAGTTTTATTGTTTGTAATTTCATAGTTAGGAATATCTATGCATTTTCCGAAGGTTCTCTGTATGTGCGCTTTTCAAATGAATGAAAGTAGAAGGTCAATAATCACCACTAATTGAAAAAATGGTTAACAGTTATGGATATCACGAATTGCGCTAAAGCGTACACCGCTTACAATGGACAAAATTCTAAGTAGAAGGTCAATAATCACCACTAATTGGAAAAATGGTTGACAGTTATAGATATCGCGAATTGCGCTAAAGCGTATACCGCTTACAATGGACAAAATTCGTAGATGGTTCCTTAACTGAAATAATCCGCTGAGCTTGCTGGAGCCTGGATTGTGCCCAATGACATACAAATATGATGAAACGTCACTCCTGTGATTAAATTTTACTTTTCAAGGTTCTGGGACCTCAAAAATTGCTATTCTGAGTTATCATTGTGGACAACTCATACGGATATGAATTACATGAGGATTGCAGGTGATAATGACCTACTCCAGAAGCAAAGTTTTGTGGCAAACTTTAGAAGGGCTTTACACTGCCACTGGCGGAACCTGCCAGATTTGCCATATCCTGCTCCGTAGAGTCGCCAGATAGTTTGTGCCCAGTGGTGCACAAGGTGGGTAATTCATCACAACGCTTACCACTGAGTCTCAACTCAGGTGAACGAGCCCGCTGTTGGCTGGACAATACTGCATTGAGGGATTAGCTGACGCACGTGCCTAACATGAGGCTAGGGTCCAGTATACCTAAACACCTAGTCAGATATAGTAGACGTCAATCATGGAGGACAGCTGACGCGTACTAACAACATGCGCTCATTCATCCCCATTGAAAAAAGTCAAGTGTCTGACTTGGGTGAGGTGGAAAGTTGGATTTTTCGTGAAACCTGATTATCACATATGTCCTGGAAGGATGTAGGCGGTCTTCTCCGTACGTATTGCTCGGCGAACTATTGACATCCCGAAGCGACAGGGGGACCTAAGTTAGTTTGTCGATACGCCAATATAGGGCAGGCGCCTTGCACACTGGAAACATTTCTCACTCTCTAGAGTGAATACTCCAGCGACAAAACTGTCGTAGGTTCTTGCTTGGATGAATTCGTGTTCACTGGGACCGGGATGCGACAAGACGGTGACCACCAATCTGCAGTAGTGGTTAGATCGTTTCTTGCAGAGACCGTACGTGGTGTCTTGCAAGCAGTTGCTGCTTGCAGGAGCACCTAGCTAGCTGAGCGTGGAAGAGCTGGTGCATCTTGCACGAGAACGGACCGGGGCGGTACCGACCACGCTGTGGTCGCAGAAAGAGAGGGAGGATTCATCAGTGGACAACCTGCAGAATCGCGGTAACGCGCTCGAACGAGGCGATGTTACAAGTGTATCACGCCCGGCAACTCGAAGAGTCAGTGTCACCCTACTTCAAACTTGCAGATAACAAATCTATGGATCGTCCGTCTTTTCCCGAGTAGGTCGCCATTATTGTTGAAACACATGCTGCAACATAAGTTGTCATCGAGGTAGGTGGGAAAATATGTGCATGTCTGACTGACGCAGGAGGTGGGTAGCTAATGAAGTAGGCGTAATAAGGCTGAATACAAACCTTGAGCATTGGCCGAAAACTGTCGGATTGTCAGTGTGCTCAATGAAGTCAGGCAACAGTTCAGTGGAGCACCAGCTTCGAGCGCATTTTCTTCGTGGTGTACCTAAATCGGAAAAATTGATAGTAAAAGTATGGCTCAGTCATGGTTTATTGTCATCCAAGCACTGTCATGATAGGACTACATGTTCATGAACTTCCGTCTTATCGAGTCGTCACATAGACCCCAACCTTGTCACAGATGAGAATCCGTTTTGCTTTTGACTATGGATTAAACAAAAGTTTCTCTCTCATCCGAACGCCCTCAACCAAATGGCTCCCATTGGCTACCGCCCCTCTACCAAAAGGGGTCCATAAACAGTTTCAACAGGTATAGGAAAATGGCATAATTGATAAAACCAACAACGCGTACAACTCGTTGTTTGTGTTTGTAAGAAAACGGACGGGAAAACTCGATGGGTGTCTGGCGTTTAAATGAAACAACTGTCAATCAGGTTGCAACTGCCCTTCATTTCCGGAAATTTCCGGTTTGCTCCAGCGATCCCGATATTTCGTTATGTTTGACTTGCGCTCCGAATACTGGAAGCCAGCTATAAAGTCAAAGGACCGACGGAATGAGAGCAGAAATTGATTTACAAGAGCGGTGTTTGTACTGTCGGGCAGAGTGTTTACATTTAGAAGCCTTGTGCTTTGCTTGACGTAGGAACTACAGAATGTTGTTGTGTGTGTGGACAACATCGTCGTGTATCGCGACTGAAAACCACGGCGTACAGTTCACCTGAAAGCCATATTAAAGCGTATTCGGCAGGCTTGTCTGCGGATAATTGCAGCCAAGACTCAGCGCGCTCGGAGTTTGATGACAGTGCCCTTTCATAAAGTGGCCCACAGTGAGTTTAGCTCACTTCCAAAATAGCTGACAAGATTCCGAAAATACGGATTCCCCAATTTGAAGCAGTCCCCACGGCACTTTCTTGGACGAGCAGCACACCATAGTTGGTTTGTCGAGAGCCACAATACGCGTGCTGCTCAACTGTACGACTTTCTGCAACAGATTTGGAAGTTCAAATGGAAAAGAGATGCGCGTGATGTATTCAAACGGGTCATAGCGGGGATCGTAGATAAAAAACTGAAGTATAAGCTTTCCACGGTAGCGCGGATGTTTACTGTTGCAGCGGATGCTGGTGATGGCGGTGCGGTCCTAAAGCAGAAGAATAGAATCATCAAACATGAATGTGTGTGTGCGCCCACCTGAAGGTGGTCCATTTTCATGGCCCGCTCCGACTTCTTCTGTCACGACATTTTGGGCGATCATACAGCCACTCGGAATCACATTGGTGACCCCGGGAAAAAGGGTCACAGTCTCCGCAATCTGACTATTTATAGTCTCACCGTTGTCTAGCGTGTGAATCTTGGCACTTGGTTACGCCAGTCAGTGACAAACTTGCGCAAGCGCCTACGCCAAAAGAGTGGACAATCAATTTTCGTTGCACAATTTTTATTACTTTTTCGTAATTGTTACCGTAGATAATAAACCTAAGCTTTGCTCCCAATATTCAGGATCATCGAACCTGACTCTAAACGTTTAGAAGTGAAAGACAATGCGTTTGACTGAGACATTGCACCATAAATGAAAAATTATCGGCAGTCTCGTCTCGTGAACAAAATATGTAACAGCAATACTAACAAGTATCGCGTGATCACGTGCCAAGGACAGCGCTCCATATCTGATGGTGCAACTTAATGGGTGATGCAAGAACGTGCATGCCGCAGCTTTTTTGATAACAATGATGTTCATTTCCAAATGTTGGACGGCATTAGGTCAACGATTGTCGGAATCAAGGCCCGATTGAGTTTGGTACTTAATTCTCAGCAATGCGTGAAGGCGGTATAGTCGTAAATACTTTAATCGCCAGGTCAACAATGCTTTCTTAACAAACTATCATAAAAGATGTGGTACGAAAGCTATGGAGATATTTATTAATGTCAGATATCAAACGGTTGCCGGTGACTTGTTATAAATATCGAAAGTTAGTTTCACTGCAGATTCGACCGGGCCGACTCTGAAATTTGACCAGTCTTGTCGTAACCACAATGCCTTCAATTCATTTCCGAGAACCGAAACCATGAAATACAAAGTAACATTACAAACCCCACACCAGGCAAGAATGCAGAGGGGCATTGATTCATTGAATAAACGCACTGCATTTTACACCAGCACATACCGCTCAACAAGTTTTGCAATCCTGGGTTGTGTAGGCTGCCATCAGTTTGTCATCATCACGGTGTTTGCCGAGCTCCGCCATGAAGTCCATAAACGTGATGCATCTTTATACTGGATCTCAACCCTATTTGCTGTGAGTTTTGGGCGACCGGACCGGTTGCTGAGTAAGCGGTATCAAAGTTGCTCACAGATGCTTTAGAATCGGCGTAATTCCTGACGTACAGAAGATGCAAAATACACCGTCCCGGCAAAATTCGGATTGTGCGGTGATCATTGTGCATTGTCGTCGCCTAATTTGGAGAAAGCAAAGCTTGGATGTCAGAAATAGGGGATTTTAAAGGCATTTTCTTCAGACACCGGACTTAGCTAAAATCCAAAAATATGGTTGATTCTACGTCGTTCATTCCACCGAACGTGGAAGCTTCATCCAATTTTTCAGTGTTTGCTTTTATTTTTGCTCCTCTAGATTTTTCACCGGTTTACGTATTGTAGTGAATGGTTGTAGGGTTAATTGCAATACGATTTGGTCGAACACACAACCACTCAGGCTCAAAACACTCCTTCAATTAGGGTGGAGCAAATCGACTCGTCTCCGAGTAGAAAGTTTTGTGTTATTAGCTCGTTGGTTATTAAAGTTAAGTTGATAATAAGGCTGCTACCATAAGACGGGCCGTTGATGAATCAGTGACGTCAGTTAAAGGCGCTGGTCCCCGTAAAGAACACTCTTACCAACCATAGGTGGAGATAATATTCATCGGTTCACGTAATGGGAAACCTTGCGGCGCAACAGCGGTAAAACAAATGAATTCGACAGTTGAGGCTGCAGTCTTGACACCACTGATCCGTTCCTTCCGAAAGGCATTGAACAACTGTGTATTCGTTATGTGAGTTCTTTAGGGAAATTTTTCATTTTTTCGGGACATTTTCTGCCGTCCTCAAAATTATGTTTCACAGTACGGTCAGGAGTTTG